AAAAGATAAATTCATTTAGAGAGATAAAGGTAAAGAGGAGACCAGATTTCTCATCTGAAATAAGAAAAGTGAGAAGTGCTTTAAAGAACTAAAATTTAAAAGCTCTCAAGTTTGAAATTTTTTTTAACTTTTTATTTTTGCTGTGACAGATATCAAATTCTTTTTCTCAACTTATGTTTTTTTATTAGTGCATTAAAGTTATGTATAATATTTGGGTTCATTTTGACAATGTATGATTTTATACACACAAGGAATTTAATTTACCCCATTTCAGTCCCCGGTTCTCCACCCTCTTTCTCTTCCTTCTTCCTTTCCCCTCTTCTCCTTCCTCAAATTTACTGGTCTTCCTTTCATTTATTTATGTATAAAAGTGGAATTCCCTGTAGTATATTTATACATGGACATTGCATAATTTTGTCAAATTCATCCCACATTTTCTCCCCTTTCTTGTCCCTCCTTCCTCCTCCTTAATCTGCTTCTACTACACTGCTCTCTTCCCTAAATCTTAATGATATACAATCTCCTTTTTTCTTAAATATGAGGGAAAACATTTGACCTTGATTTTCTGAGGCTGGCTTATTTCACTTAGCATGATTTCTCCTGTTTCATCTTGTTATTGCAAAATGCCATAATTTCATTATATGGATAAGTAAAACTCCATTGTGCTTATATACACCACATTTTCTTAGTCTATATCTATTGCTAGGCGTCTGGGCTGGTTCTATAACTTAGCTATTGTGAATTGTGCTGCTACAAGCACTAATGTGACTATATAACTATAATACAGTGATTTTTAGTTCTTTTGTACAATATCAAGGAGTGAGATACTTGGGGTCTTAATAGTGGTTCCATTTCTAGTTCTTTGAGGAGTTTCCTTACCTCTTTCCAGACTGGTTGTACTAATTTGCAATTCCACTAGCTATTATGAGTGTACCTATTCCTCACCAGCATTTATTATCATTTGTATTCTTGATAACTGTCATTCTGACTAGAGTGAGATGAAATCACAATGTAGTTTTGATTTGTATTTCCCTAATTGTTAAATATGTTGAACATTTTTCATAAATTTATTGGTCATTTGCATTTCTTCTTTTGAGAAATATTTGTTTTTAGTTCTTTTGCCCATTTATTGAGTTTGGAGGGGTATTAAGCTTTTTGAATTCTTATCAGAGGAATAGCTGGCAAAGATTTTCTCCCATTCTATAGATGCTCTCTTCATGCTCTTTAATCATGTCTTTTACTGTGCATAAAACTATAATCCCATCCCACTAATTGATTCTTGGTTTTATTTCTTGATCTTTAGGGGTCCTGTTAAGGAAGTTGGTAACTGTAC